ATTAAATAAACTTATTAATATATAAACTACTACTTTAATAAGAACTTACTCTCTTAGTATATAGTTAGTAATTAATAAACTAAAACTCTTTAAAAATACCCCTTAATAAGTTTACCCCTCTTAGGCTAAGCGCCCTTTTTAACTAGCTCAATATTATAATTATTATAATTAACGTAAATATATTTAAAAAATAGCGAAGTACTTTTTAATAATATAAAATTTAATTAAGTAATATTATAAATATTATAAATAGCCGGGCTAATATAAATATTAAGATCCGGTATATCGACGCTAGCCTAGCTATAATAATTATAATAAACGGGCTAGAAATATATAGGGTTAAAATAATAAGTTAGCGCTTTAAATAGCTCTTATAAGACCCCCTAAGTAACGATAATACTTATATAAAAAAATAGATTATATTAGACTTAGTTATTTATATAAGCTAATATTAAGAGGTCCTATATACGTTAAAATAAGTAAAGCTCGCCCTATAAGTAGCTAGAACTTAAAAAGACTTTATATAATAAAAAGTTAGGAGCTATTTTAGTTAATAATTAAGTATAGAGCGTATTATACTTAGTTTTCCCTAATATGTAATATATAGTACGGCCCCGGTAGATTACTCCGTTAGAGGGAAGTAATATTTTATATTATAAGAATTTCTTAGTTATAAAATAATATTAGCTATGCTTTAAAAAATTAAAAAACTTAAAAGTATATTATATAATTAACTAAAATAGTAAATAAATTATTATATAAGGGCTATATAAAAAAGACTTTAAAACGCATATTATATTAATAATATATAGTAACTTAAGTAATAATAATAAATAAAACCTTATTAAAAAAAAGAAAATAGTCGGATTTTTATTAAGTTAAAAAAAGAGGGCTATTAAGACGTTTATAATAATATTTATCCTAACTTAGGTTTTTAAAAAGCTAAAAAGAGATAGTAATAAGTTAAAATAGAAAAGAGGGGGGGATAATAAAGTTAAATAAAGCCGGATTTCCTTATTAAAGGGGATTTAAAAAAGAGGAATAGTATAAAATATTATTTAAATAGCTTCTAAGTCGGATATTAAGAGGTTATAAACGAGAGGACGAACTAAAAAAAGACTTAAGTAAATAAAATAGAGGAGTACTAAATATTAATAAAAATAAATTAAGAAGATAATAAAAAAGGGACTTATTATTAATAACTTAAATACTTTTAATAAAGCTATAATTATTTACTTAGTATAAGTAAAAAAATAAGTACTTAGTAATTAAAAGTCCAATAGATTAAGTTTAAAAATAATAATTAATATTTAAAATAGAGGGCTAAGTAATAAAAATTATAAAAAGTAGGGGCGAAGTAAGAAAAAGAATTAATAAGGATAAGATTAAAAAATAATATAGCTCGGGAATAGTATAATTATAATATAAATTAAAAATAAAGGATATATTTAAAATATAAGGAGTAAAAAAAGGGGATTAAGATAATAAGGAGTTAATAAGAGAGTTTTATAAGCCTATAGCCTTAGGTCTATTATAAATAGTTATATCTAGGCTTAGAAATATTAAAAAACTAAATAATAAATACTTATTAAAACGATATTAAAGAAATTCGGTCTTATTTAATAAGAACCTAGGGCTAGGGCGAGGTAATAATAAAAATAACTAAAAATAATATCTTAAACTAGAGTATAAGCTCGTATTTAAAAACGTAGTTAAGTATAGGGTATTATAATTTTTAATTAATAAATATAGCAAACTTAAAAAGAATTTTTCTCAATACGAGTAAAAAAATATAAGCTTTAAAATAAATACCTTAAGTTATAAGCTATTAAATAGTAATATTATAAATACTACGGTCGGGTCGTTATAATTAATAATAAAGATAATATCGTTTAATTTTAATAATTTTCAATAGGACTTAGTAATATATTAAAATTAAAATAGAGTTAAAAAAAAGATAGAGGATAGTAATAAGCTTTTTAAAAATAGAGATTAGAGGGTAATAGTTAATAAAAAGTTTAAGGGGGATATTAGATTTAAAAAAAGAAAACGGAATATAAGTAATATTAAGGATAATGAAAAACTAGAAGCGTACTTAGAATAGTTATTTTATTAAAACTAAGTTATAATAAAAAAAGAAGGGGACTAAGTATTTAATAATAGCTACTCTAACGAGGTTATTTAAATAAAATTATAATAAGAATTATAAAATTTTATATAATTAATTATATTTAGGTTATATAATATATTAATAATAAATAATAAAAAATCTTAAATTTATAATAAAACCGGACGAAAATAAATAAAAATATATTTATTAAACCGTTTATAAAAATAATATTTTATATATTTAGGAGAGGACGGAAGTATTAAAATTTAAAACGCTTAGGTATATAATTATTAATATTTACGTTTTAAAATATAAGGGGGTTTAGAGTTAAATAATAAAATAATTATAAATATAATAAAATAAAATAAAATAAGGTTAATAAGCCTAAAATAATTAAATAAAAGATTTCGCTTCTTAATTAAAAATAAAAAAAGAGATCGATAATTTACCTTAATAAAAAATCGTTATATTAAAGCGATCTTAAAAATATACTTCTTATAGTTCTCTCTAACTTTAGTTTTTTTTATTTCTTTAATAATAATAATAAGATCCGATTTTTTTACTAAATATACCTCGTTAAACTTAGTAATTTTTTATAGTTATTAATTAAATCGCTAAGTATAATTAAACTAAACGTCCCTAATAAAAATAACCTAGTAATATATTAAAATATTATTTTAATTAAAGCTTAAGGTTAGTTAATAAGAGGATTACGTAGTACTAAGAGAATTAATAAAGTTTATTAAATAATACTAATACTAAAAGTATAAATAAAGCGAATATTATAATTATAAGGACGTTTATTAACGTAGTTTTAGTAAAAAGAATTAATTATCTATTTCTTTATTTATAATATAAAAAGTAGTTAATAAAAATAAAAGAGAAAAGGTATAAAAAATAAGACCTCTTAAATAAGTATAATAAAAAAGTAATAGTTATTAAAAAAATATAAAATACTATAAAAATAATATAAAAAGTTATAAAAGTTAGAGTATATAAAATATAATAAAATAAAGAGTAGAATAAATAAAAAGGACTTTAAATAAAAGCTTAGGGGTACGTTAAGTATTTATATAAAAGTTAAGTTTTTAAAAAATTTATTAGAGGAGTAGTAACTAGCCGATCTTTATATAAATAACTAGTTTTTATATAAGAGACTAGTTTTTATATAAGAAAGTAGTTTTTATATAAGAAAGTAGTTTTATATAAATAACTAGTTTTTATATAAGAAACTAGTTTTTATATAAAAGACTAGTTTTTATATAAAAAACTAGTTTTATATAAGTAATTAGTTTTTATATAAGAGACTAGTTTTTATATAAGAGAGCAGTTTTTATATAAAAAAGTAGTTTTTATATAAAAAAGTAGTTTTATATAAATAACTAGTTTTTATATAAGAGATTAGTTTTTATATAAAAAATTAGTTTTTATATAAAAGAATAGTTTTTATATAGGAGAGTAGTTTTTATATAAAAAAATAGTTTTTATATAAAAAAGTAGTTTTTATATAAGAGAGTAGTTTTTATATAAAAGAGTAGTTTTATATAAGTAATTAGTTTTTATATAAGAGACTAGTTTTTATATAAGAGAGTAGTTTTATATAAGTAACTAGTTTTTATATAAGAGACTAGTTTTATATAAATAATTAGTTTTTATATAGGAGACTAGTTTTTATATAAGAGATTAGTTTTTATATATAGTAGTTTTTTTTCTAGCTTTATAAATATAAAAGATCGACCTTAACGGGATTATGCTTTTAAAAGAAATTATACGATATAGTATACTTTTTAAGTATATAATACGCGCTATATATCTTAAGTACGCGCTTAACGTAATATAGTAATTTTAATATAAAAACTGCTATTTAATTCGGGATAGGTAAGCTGCCCTTTACGCGGCGGCGCCGGTTAGAAAGGTCGACGGTAGAGGTTAGCCGTAATAGTTAGTTATAATAGTCGAAGGCGGCCTTCTTTAACCGTAGAGGTTCTGAACTTTAATAGTAACGTAGAGGTTTCTAGAGAAAGGGCTAAATAGGCTAATATCTGCATTAGTTTTTATATAAAAAACTAGTTTTATATAAAAGACTAGTTTTATATAAGTAACTAGTTTTTATATAAGTAACTAGTTTTTATATTTAAAAAGTATATATTAAGTACTTAAAAAATATACTAATTAAGAATAATTAAGGGAGCGATATAAAATATATTTATACTAGATAGAAATAAAAAATTTAAAAAGATAGATTTACTTAGTAATAAGTTTTTTAATAAAATAAAAAAAGTATACGATATTTAGATAAGAAATAACTAAATATACTTAATAAGAATATATTAATAAGAATAATATTAAGGGAGAATAATAGAAAATATATAAAACTTTTTTTAAAAAAATAGTATCGAAATTACGAAAAGCGGTTTTTATAGTAAAAAAGTAGTTAAAATATAATATACCGATTTTAGAGAATAGAAGTTATTTAATTTGAATTTATAAGGAGCGTTAATTAGTTTTTTTATATAATAACTAGTTTTTTAATATTATATCTTTTTTTAAGTAAAAAAGGTCCGTATAGCCTTAATATATAACTAATAAAAACCCGCGCTTTAATTAGAACTAGTTAAAATCCTAAGAATTATATACGCTAGGGCGTTACGAAGCTTAATAATATATTTATCTTTTTTATAAACTCCTCCTAGCGCTCTACTACCTATTAGAGTTACGCTATTAGGAGTATTTTTAGTAAATATTATTCTTTAAGAAATGGATCGTCTTGCTCTAACCTTGCCCTAGTAATCTAATCTGTCTAAGGAAAATAACCTACGTGTTTAGGGTTCTTCGATCGTGGGTCTTTGTCCCTTTTTTAGCCGTGTATATTAAGTCGTAATTTATAGTACTATACTCTATAAAAAAACTTTGTCCACTTAGTAACTTCTCTTCTACTTTTCCCAACGATCAAGGCTGCTAGTAGACTAATAAGAGATCCAAAGATAAGAATAAGACCAAAGCAGGCTTGAGCCCAAGTATAATCACCCCCGCAAGCATTAATTATAGCTCCCATCGTGGGCGGTCCCGCTAGGGTAGCAAAACCACAAACTGCGTAAATATCTATATAAAGTACTCATTAGTAATTAACTTTATAGTTAGATACTAGCAGCCTTTTTATTAGATTTGCTCTCTTGAATTTATAGCTCCCCGTGTGCTTTCGGGACGACTTACTTCCAAGCCACGACCCCGTCTTCGTAACGTCGTCTGCTAGGCTGCTTGAGGCTGCCGGGAATACGCCTTGAGCGGCGCCATTCACGAATCCCAGGGCACAAGAGAACACGTACATACTGGCACGGCTTTGAACTCCAATCCAGCCGAAGCTCGCGAGACCAAGAACTAGTGAGGTAAAGCTGAATGTATTGATCGCCCCGATATATCTATCGGCAATGATCCCGGACATGGGCCTTGCAACGAATGCTAGAGCATTGGTGATTAAGAAAAAGTTGTTAGACTCCATTTCCGATAAGCCAATTCGGATTCTGGCAAAGGAGTTGATCTACATTGGGGGTTAGAGACTCCGGACATCTGTTATGGACTTCAGTCGGCAAGTGCAATTCCTTACATAGAAAAGCAGCGTAAAGACTGCAAACCAAATCAAGAAAGAAGCCGCAGTAAAGACCAAGAAATTGGGAGACTTGAACGCTTTCCAGTCAATCAGTGGTCTTTTCTCGAGTTGTAGTTTCTTGGGGCGAAGAAGCAAGTTTCCAACGATGCACATGGAAAGAGCAACAAAGGCAGATCCTCGAACCGCCCAAGGAAACCCAACTCGGGGAACCAGATTCTGAAGTATGACCGAAAAGACAATAGCCCCGACGCTCGAGCCACATGCGCTCAACGACATAGCCAACGTAAGATTTTGCTTGACACTTTTGGCAACGTTGGCGACGGCGGGCATAAACATAAATCCACCACCAAGACCTGTGCATATGCCCTGCGCCAACATAATCTGCCAATACTTAGTCGAGAGGCTTGTCGCGAACATGCCAAAGCATGAAGCTAAAGAACCCCCTAAAAATAGCTCTGTCGTATATCCTGCGTCGGCCAATGGGCCCGTGATAACGCCAGTGACAAAGTACAGGAAGAGTTGAGCCGAGCCAATCCATGCAATTTGGAAACTCGGTAGGTGAAAGATCTGTTGGTAGTACAGCTGATAAACAGCGAATGATGTACCGTAGCCCCAGGTCATCGCAAATGCGACAAATGCGGGGATTACTTGGAGCCAGGATGTCCAGTCGTAATGACCAGTATGTTCCAGTGATGATTCCTCTGCGGGAGGCTGGGTTTGAGGAGGTTCGTGCGGCCAGATATCTTGATCAGTGTTCCGGTTCGGTCGGCCATCGACCTGTCTTTGAAAAGTCAACATGATCAGGGTGACTGCGGTTGTCGAGGCTAGCCCAATTTCTAATGCGGGTGGTATGAGAATATGAGAATATGAGAATCAAAGGAAGGTGCAACTACACGCTGGTCTGCTAAAACCTCTTTTGAATCACCCCCTGGCCGCCCTTGCAGATCCTCTATTGCTTATAAAGCCACCTGTGTAGGTAAACGGTCACAGTAAGGCTCACTTGCCCCTCCCTTCCCCGCCCCTCCAACACGCCACTTCTCGATACAGCTTTGTATGTCACTGTATTATGGAAGTGGTCGCGAGGTCGGAACTAGCGACTGTGTCGTTTCTCAAACATTGAAAGCTTCGCAACGCTCTTGGCTATGACATAGACTAAAATGCTACTATTGCTAATGCTTGGTCTACACGGAAGCTCTATCTTAATTTGTGAATGTGATTGTGAACCTGTCCTGGCCTAGCTTCCTCTCACCTTCTCTTGGGCGAAGGAAAGCATCCCGGCACTAAGTGAGATCACTTCGATGCAAAGCCGACTAACAAGGCTGGGTAGCCTATCTTTTTCCTTCTGTCTCGAAGGTGCTCCCATAGAAAATTGGGCTTTCGAGCACGGAACGAATCGGGCAGTCGGTTTCAGCCATGAGCTCAGCAAGAGGCGAGGCGCTACCTCATCAAATCCAGCCGAATACTCAACAATCATTCGAAGTGTAGGCCATGGCGTCTTCTTCTGCTATCGTCTGTAGTTACAGCTGCCGGCCAATTCATCGTCATCATAGCAGATAACAAAGTAGACAATTCCCGCTGATTATCCAATAGGAAATGCCGCATAGCATATCCTCAATGGGCTTAGACCTTAATAGACTGAATCAGGTTTGGTCTCTAACCGGTACAGTCGGGATCCATAGTGTAAGCTCATAAGTCGACCAGGTGCTTTGCCGCCGGGTAAGTTCCCTTCGCCTTGGTGGGGCCTGCGGCATCGGCGGAACGTTGCCGGTCAAAGTCCTACTCACGGCTGGTCAGATTCACGGGAAGTTTCCGTACAGCGCTGGCTCATTGCCACTTACTCGCATGGACCAACAATAGTTCCCTTCTTTCCAGGCCAGGGAGAATTTTGAAAATGAGGGTAGGAGCAGGCAACATGTGTCCACACTAGTCTTCTTCTTACGAGGCAGTAACAGTTCTTACCTTTGTCTTGAAAGGACATTCTTTCTTGAGCTACTCATTCTTGTAATCCGCGAGATACACCACTATGCTAGATAACAGTAATCTACTATATTGTATCCTCTCTCAGGTATTGTAAGATCAATTGACTTGATTTGCATCGATTTTCAGTGTGATCACCTAAGCCATGATGAGAAAACGATTACACCGGAGGCTATAATACCAAGTCTTTTGTCTTGTGCAGCTGATTGCACAGGCCTGCTGGTAAATTTCGCATCGACTTGCAATCGCTCAGGTAGCAACGTGACTCCAGAGATATCGAGCGGCAGTTGGACAAGCCGGGGTCCTCATGCGTATGTTGATGAATATGACGAAAGAAAAAGCCATAGGTTTTCTTATCAAGATACACGTGAGTGGACGCTCCACTGGTATGAAGATGGTCTACCTAATATGTCTTCTACTTAAAGCAACGCATAAGCTAGGTCGCTCAGGGTGGGAAATTACGGCTTCAAATGTGCTTGGGCAGTTTGACAAACATTAAGTCAATTGAATTAATGTTCCCTAATTGCTACTTAAACTAACAGCATGTAATTGGACCCACGAGTTGGCTGGTGTTGTTCGCAACACTCGGCACGTCAATGCTGGGGTTTCCAGTGAAAAAATCACTCGGCCTGAGCTGGACGTGATGAGTCTCAACCGGCCTAATCAGATATTAGCCTCGCGCTGCAACTGAACATCTTTTGGGAGGGACACGAACATCACCGGCCAGTCCTCAACTCGAGGGTTGTGTGTTAGGCAAAAAACAGACCACACTACGATATCCTCGTTCTCAATATCATCACCGCGCGCCACCATTTCGTGAACGCCGCCAACTTCCGCGTCGCTCTGGAACGGATACTTGCCAGCCGCCCAGAGCTCCCCATCCCTATACTTGGTTACCCAGACATGATGCTGCGCGAATTTGGCCCGCTTCGCTTGTTTTGAGTCAGGGTCCGCAAGGAGGAGTTGAGTTGGCGGCGTGATAAGCTTGTATCCTACTGGCTTGCCACTCGTAGGATTCTTCTTCGACGGGTTGACAATTTTGAAAATGCGATTATTCATGGGCATAGCATCCGCCCATGAAGACTGCTTGATGACCTTGTTAACGACCTGGTAGAAATTACCGCTCGGGTTTGTTTTCTCGTTCATCATGACTTGCAGTGATTCCTCTTGAATAAGAGTGTTGCGGTGTCCATCGATAGCAGGATCAATGCGGACAGCAAAAATATGCTGATGGTTTTGGGCAAGAACGCCCGGATTGACAATGTTACCGTACTCGCTGGCCTTACCCGCGTCAATATTGACGCAGCTGACTATTCCAGTTGCGCGGACTTCGATGTCAATGCCGCCGGCGAGATTGAACTTGTAGGCGAAGATATACTCATAATTTGCCAGCGTGAGAATGAATTGAACGACAAGCTCACGATTCCGGGTGACTACAGCACGTCCAGTTCTCCAATTGGTGTGCTTCCAACCAATGCCATTATCTTGTTCGTGCAAGCATATGACGTTCGGTTGGCGCTCGACTTGCCCGTCGGGCTTTACAACAAACGCATCGAAATACTGTGTGCGGTGTTAGTCATGTCCCCAATGGCCTTTTGATGAAGTGATAGACCTTGATGACGCCCAGACAGTCGCAGCCCAGAGACAGATTATTAGCACACATACCAGCGCCGCCTTCTCCAAAATCAAAGGCCTGCTTTCTGTGGTAAGGGGACCGGGGATCAGCATACGGAACTGTCTACACATAAAATCGTCAGCTGATAGTACAATCAGAACAATGATATTGGTAGACCGACCATCTCGCTGATAGAAAGGCGGTGAAACAGGCTTCGGCCATCGTAGCGAACGTCGTGAATGACTGCCCCCTCTCTAGAAGTCCAGCCCACCCTAAACCGCCATTTCTGCCACTCAACAAGGGACTCATCCGTGACCTTGAAGGATGGCCCGCTGGGCTGAGTGACGTCCAAGCTCTTGAAATCTCTGCGGGTACCGTTGGGTATCAATTCTGGCGCATATTCCGCAGGAGTACAGTGATCGAGCACGTTCTTCTCAATTGGAGTAGCCGAGAGGCTGTCGCCTATCCCGCCGGTAGCAAGCTTGATGACACGTACAACCTTTTGCCTGTAGTAGTCGACAATGGGCAGCAAAGGAATTGGGAAGGCGTAGAAATTCGTGTCAGCATTGCCGCTTCGAGTGTCTTTGCCGTAGATGACACCTTGGAAATATCTACCAGGCTTATCATCTGTTTCTAGAGCCCCATAAGGCCAGGGCTCAACGATAGGCTCGATATAGACCGGCAGTTCCAGCTCAGCCAAGGCCTCCTTGTACATGGTCGATTCATGAATGATACGAATCGCGGTCTCGAATTCGGCTCTGACAGATTTGCAATGAATTAGTATCAACTAGGGCCACAATGAAACCATTTTGCAAAGTAATTTGACATACAAGGTTAGGCTGGCGTGAAACGTCTTACTGACGATTTCGCTCTGGATGACTTGGCGTGCCGCGATGTCGACGACCGCTTCTCGGTAGACAGGAATCTTGTCAGGGCCTACAGTGTCATAATGGCAGTACGCCAGTCTGAGCGGGTACAGTGTACTCTGGGTCAGTTTTCCACTGTTCTCAAGCTCGAGAAACGGCACGAGTTCCTGTTTCGAAGGTTCTCGCATACCAATTTCCCGGAATTCGATTACTGCGTTGCTGTGGGCAGACTTGATGAGGTCGCGCACGGCGCAAGCCTCATCCACAGTCAAATTGGCCAAAGGGTGCAGATGAAGCATTTCCAGGTATCGTGTTATTTTGTTGTATCGATGTTCAGAAGTATCTTGTTGAGGCAGTTCCTTTGTGTGCGACATGCTGCAGAGCTGTGCGCCTTATAGCATAGCTGCGTCAGAACTCATTTGAATCAAAAATAATAACACCAGCTCAACGCTCCTCGTCACCCGGTGTTCTGTCTCCGGCGACTAGTCAAATGCGGCAGGGGAACGCGTGCTGCCTTATTGGTCTCTGAGAAGATGAGGGGTCAGAGCTTATCTTCATCGGGGCCGTAGGTTATCTCTACGAAAGATGCGGAGATCATGTTCTAGATATACAACCTCTTCCGAATGAAGGTATGCTTTCCGTTCTGCTTCATTGGCTCGTGGTCAGGGGAACTTCTTCAAGGTGAGTCTTTCTTATTTTTCAAGCCTAAACAATCACAGAACGAAGATCCCGAGGTGCCCAATCCGCCCAGTTGCAGGCAGACTCCTACTGGCCGATTGACAATCTTTCTTACGGGCCAGTGGGAGAGAATTGCCGAACCCCCCTGAAACCATTATTTAAAGATCAAGAGGCATATAAACAACATTTTCGTCTTGTACGTAAAATGTACACAAAAAACAACGCTTCCAGAGATCACAGTAGTGTCCCAACTCGCCAGGTTCTAATCAACATTGAAATCCCACCCCGCCTTCGGCATCTTCTCACGTCATGGCTACCTTCTACTCATCCAAGACGGACAATAATGCCTTGGCATATGTGGATGGCAGAGTATTCACTATGAATGACCATCACCCATGGGCGGAGGCTTTTATCGTGTCTCCCTCGGGCGTTTTCGAAGCTGTTGGCACTACAGAGTACATCAAGACAATTGCAAGCAGGCGCGGCCTCATTATTTGCTCCTTGGGCGACCGTTTTGTTATGCCGGGCATTCACGATGGTCATACCCACTTGCTTTTCGCCGGCTACACTAGCCTTTACCATACAGAAATTGGTCGGACCGCGAATGCGAACACTATCGCCAATCTGCTCGAGAAGAGTCACTGCCTCTGCAAGTATACCAATGTAATGGGAGAATGGATCATTGGAAACTACTACGTCTCCAACCTTTTCCCAGACGGTCTTGCAGATAGGAGATACCTTGACGTTGCATATCCCGATAAACCGGTTCTTGTCCGTGAGATCAGCGGCCACAAAGTCCTGGTGAATTCTGCTGGACTTCGATACCTCGGGCTAGACCCAAACACCGCCGTCGAACCAGAAGGGGGTGTATACTCTCGCCGTCCCGATGGATCCATGACGGGGGAGTTGAAGGAAGTGGCAACAGGGGTTGCATGGCTAAACATGCCTGTCCCTCCACTGTCTGCCGTCAAGAAGGCCATGGTTCACAGTATCAAGACATGCCATATGTACGGAATCACATCTGTACAGGAAGCTTCTGCCAATACCCTTTACCTTCACGCGCTACGGGAGCTGGAAGACGACAACGAACTCAACCTCGACATCTGCACCCATATTGTGTGCAAGAACGAATTTTTTCCGAGCGAAAGCAACGCTAGCCTGGAGGCTCTTTTGGATGTTTCCGAAGCTTTCAAGAGCAAGCATGTTGACACGCGATATGTCAAGTTTTGGCTAGATGGGTCTCCTCTTGAGCCTGGCTCTACCCACTCCTGCCTAGGGCTGGACGGCGAACCTGACAGACGCATGCTTCTCCTTGACGATGAGACTTTGTTGGCTGCAGTCAAGAAGTACGATGGTAGAGGGATGACCGTGAAGATGCATGCAGCCGGTGAAGGCAGCATAAGGCAAGCGTTGAATGTGTACGAGGCTGTTAGGAAAGAAAATCCCAACGGGCCTCGACACGAAGTTGCTCATTCCAATGCAATACATCCTGGTATGTACCACACTTCCCTCTTCCATCCATCGAAGTAGAACTTGGTTCTGTTATGTGCTGGCGCTGATTAGAGTTGTCAGATGACTTCGCCCGATTGGCGTCTCTTCGAGTGACTGCAGAGATGTCTCCTTCTGTGTTTGATCAGGTAGACGAGTTGGCAGCAGATGTACTCCGTTTCGAGTTCAACCAGGTCCACAAGGCAGGAGGGTTGTGTACGTTTGGGACTGATTGGCCGGTAACGGAGAATCCAAATCTCCTCCAGCCTTTAGCAGCACTTCTTGACAAGGTCACTGTCGACCCTGTGCCGCTGGCAAAACAGTTGAAAACACAAAAGGAGTTTGCTGCGAGGGTTATCTGCCGAGCTATCACACTGGGTGCTGCAGAGAACCTAGATAAAGGAACGGAGACGGGAAGCATTGAGACCGGGAAGAAAGCCAACTTCATAATGGTCAATCAAGACCTGAGCAAGGGAGAATTCTCGGGGGCCATTGTGCAAAAGACATGGTTCGAGGGACGTTTGGTATGGGACATTGACGGTGAATTCAAGGTGTCAATTTGAACGTCAAAGCCATATATTTACAGGTCTCGAAGGCCGCTGTCGCAATCTCGACTAGTAAGAGACTCGGCATGACTGAGCAGTTGCTCGATTGTGAAAGCAAGATTATTACTTCTACAAACTGAGGCTGACTTCTTTCGACGGAGGTACCTTACCCGGTGGACATGGCTATCCTTTTGTTACGAACTTTAGTATTCTGGTGACTCTGTAATCGTTGCTCTGGCACCGGGTAAGTCACGACAGATAGGCTGCAGTAAAAGTCTCAGGGGTCAATAGGAGGGGAAACAACCTGCGCTCACAGCCGTCTTATCCCCGGCTAGAAGAAGTGTACATTGGCTAAGTGGTGAATTAAGATGACCAACCATTGGGCCGAGGAGGTAGACGGCACGTGGGGGGCCAGGGTGGAGAGAAAGAGGGGAAAGATGAGGGGAAGCGGAAACTTATGCTACGTCAAAACCGACATCTGCCTCATGTCATATCAAGATTCAGATGGGAGCAGGTCCAGATAGGTCCATTGATCAAGCAACTTTTGTTCGACATCAGTCGTTACCGTACAGCTCGTCTTTATGCCATGCGTGTATCCAACATTAGGCTACCTTCTCGACCCGGGAAAAGCCGTTTAGGTCAGTGCGACTAGCATGCATCAGCAGAGTTCCAAATCGTCGTAGCTCACAATCTTGAGGCAGCATGTTCGACATGTAAGCAGAGACATGTGCGATGTGATCTCGCACGGCCTGCGTGTCTTCGTTGTCGGCGTAGCGGTCTGACCTGCCCGGGATATAAGCCCCCAGAATTGAAATGGGAGCGCAATATTGATTTGGTGGCTGCCGAAGCAAAATATCTAAAAGCATCACCGCTGAAAGAAGACGATGAAAAGCCTCAGAAGTGGCATAAGTACTACCGGGGCAGGCTGATCACCACCCCCTGCGTAGCCTTGTCGGACCAAGATGCACGCCGAAATATCGTCACGCCGCCAATCTTCAATCAAGACGGATGTTTACATTACCCATACCAAATCAATGAACTGGATAATTTGTTCGGAGTTCAAGATGCCCTAGCTGGATACTATCATTCGGATGTCGCTTCAATATTCACCATCTTTGACGGGCCCGGAAGCCCATTCGGCGATCGATTTCTACACTACAAAGATTCCGACGGCATCATAGCTAACACTGTTGCCTCAGTCGCCGCAATTCATCTTGCTGATAGCCGTGGGGACATCGCGATGCTGCAGTATGGACTTCGCGCCCGGGCCAAAGCGGCGCATCTCCTTACTAGCACACTGAGTTCCGGAGTTTGGGGAAAAGACGCATTCATATCGAGCGTCCTTTTAACTCTGACAGAGGTGAGGCTTCAGTAGCGTTCAGCACAAGACTACTTCACTTCAAGCGCTGACGGTTATTGATCGATTGAAGAGCTATTATGAGCATGACAATTGGGGACAGACCTATTTTCAAAGCGCTAGACTACTCGCATCACGACACTTTGATGCCTTTCGGTCCGAAGTTCCCCGATGCTTTAAAGATGTAATTTCTTGGGTGAATATGCTGGCCAATCTGGTCACAGACCCAGATCCTGAAGCTCAAGACTCCACATCCCTCTGCCTCGAGGTCAATGCTGTCCCAGATATATCTCATGCGAATCCACTTCTGGGAACTTGGGCATCTATCGTGCCGAGCATTACTAGCCTAGGCAAAGCTCTTAGAAGACTGAAGGTAGAAGGTTACAACCCCGCCGTTGCGACAGAGATCACAGCTATAGAAACATTTCTGCTAGAATGGCAGAGTGGTTCGAGTTCTGAAGTCGATGTGGCTATTATTCAGGGCAACGACAAAGCTCTCAACTCATCAGAGGAAGCTCTCGATCCTTCAGCGCAGGAGTACCCACAAGACCAGCATTATTCTGCAATGGCAGAGGCCTACAGGCTGGCAGGGTTACTGGAAGTTTATAGAAGTTTCCCTACTGTGCTCCGACGACGTTTGACTGTCGTCACCGAAGAGTCAAGGCCCGACCTATTCATCAACAGTCTAAGAGACACCATTGTATATCTTCTTAGGACGATTCCATATAACAGTCGGCTGTTTAATGTAGGGTCGTTTCCTTTGTTGACAGCAGGCCAGCTATGCTGCACAGCTGTAGATCGTGAGTGGATTAAGTCCCTCTTCAATAATCTTAGATGCCGAACTGGTATTGCTGTCGTTACGAATCTTCTAAAGATACTCGAAGAAGTCTGGGAACGTCGTGACAGAGGCGAGTTGATCTCATGGATGGACATATTTGCCGAAAAAGGAATATCAACTTTAATCAATTAACAGTCACACTGTTAAAGTTTCGAGCTTTGATTTCAAAGCTCGCTGCTTAGCTTTTGGTTCTTGGCATTAACTGAACTGTTTTGGTTGATACTAGTATTATGTTACACGTTCTCGACTGTAATAGCTAAGATGCTTAAAAGATCGGATCTTCGGGTGATGCTGTTATTGAAGTTCGAACTAAGGCGGTAGGAGTCACTGCCTTGATGCTTTCATGATACACCAAAATAAGGAACAGTGAAGTGGGAAAAGATAGGAAAAAGAAGGAAAATTGGGGGGGAAAGGGACTGTTCAAAACAGATACTGACAATAACAGAATTTCGGCATGCTAGACTTATGTATACCTATTTTAGAAGAATCCTTGAAGAGAGCCCAAATCCAAGTTGAGGTAATCATCAACAATCTGAAAGTCGTGCTCCGTGTACCTTATTTGCAATTCCTGCCACAAAACATTGTCGACATCGTCCAAGTGTGGTTGACAGCTTGCGTCGGAAGTAGAATCTAGTCCCAAGTTTGGGAGTTCCGAGTGGACATCCCCTTGGTAGTTCGGAGACTCGATTACCAGAACGTGATCCATGTAGTCGTGTACGGTGTTTTGCACCTGCGTAGAGACTTGCTGGTGGTATTGATTGACAGCTTCCTGGAAGCTATTGAGAATATCAAGATAAGTCTGGGCTTGGATGAATCTTTCGCCCATGACCTGAAGAACCCCTTTGCAAAAGCTAAAGGCTTCAACTATGTCTTGGCGAGGCTCGCCCGCGAACATGGAAAACCCAAGTACTAGGCCCGAGCCATACGCCCAAGCCCTTCCTCTAAGATCAGCCACTATGAACCGAGAAGGTAGGAATGGTTGGCCGAAAACCTACTGAATGAGACATAAGTTGCCAAAATCAAACCTTCTGATCTTGAGCGTATGGAATGTTTCAGCTATATAACAAGCGGAGCTGACGCAAACTTGGGCAAGCTTTGAAACCTTGTTGTTCTTGATGCGGAAATCCGACGCGGCATCAGGATCATCGATAAGATGGTCTGGAGCCCTCCCTCGCAAGCGCGACATGAGATATGCGACTAGGTATGGACGAGTTACTAACAAGACCGCGAAGTAGTAAAGGCATGATACGTGAATATGGCCAATTAGCTGCTGCCGCTGCGACGGCTGGTTAGAAACGTCTTCACCAAAGCTGAAAGTCCGTAATGAATCTGGCTGGCTCCTGATCCATTGCCGAAGCTGATCTAACAGTGACTCTGCTGTAGGTACGTGGAGGATACCACCATTCCGCAGGACTGTGACAATAGTCTCGATATGGTTGCAACCCTGAAAAACCGCAGAGGTTGCGACCTTTCCAGACCAGGCCATGTCATTAGTCATAGCTTCTGAAAGGCCGTTATCCACGAGCGACGTCGGCAAGCTCAACCCTTGTCCAAGGACAAAGCTTGCAAGGATATCAAAGATTCGTAAGCTCCCCCAGAGCCGAGACCTATTCTGTCAGTTCGCGTTCATATCAATACAGGTGTTCTCACAAGCTGACCTTGAGCCGTCCGGTCCAACTTGCTGTGATGCGCCCATCTGCAAACCGACTATACCTGCAGCCTTTGCGGCAATTGCGAGATCCATGGCTGCCGTGCTTCGCTGACAAGTGCCTAAGGAGTAGAAAGCCATGAGAAGAAATAACCTGATCGTGCTTAGCGAGGTTGTCTTCAACATTCCAGTGCTACAGTGATGTTAGCAGCTATTATTAACTTCCTCGCTCAAACACGAAGGGTGAAAAATGACTCCCAATGTCTTTCTTACAATGCAGCTTCGCGCCCACGTGAATACAGGGAAGATGCTAGAGACGTATCTAACTCTGTCAGGGGTAGGTATTGGGCGCCTATAGCAAGAGCCACATTGAGTGCTGCTAGATCCTGGCAACAATCTACTGAGCCAGTTTCGATTGACAGCTCGTCTCTTTGCCGCTCAATCAAGCTGTCAATCTCCTCGGCTGAGAACACATCTAGCAAACCACTAGTCTTTGACAGAGCAGTTAGCTATGATCAAACAGTAGTCATTTGAGACTGTTTCTGACCGCTTCAAAATATGAGTCTAGTAGGGAATACATCTTCTGCGATGAGAGATTTCCCGCAGCATCGAAGTTCGGTTCCGGTTCCTCCTGTGAGGAGAAATCGTGGCCGTCGTTGTTTGTGAAGCGGGCGTGTCCTACGAAGGGACGTAACGTAGTGCGCAAGAAACGTAGGAAGGAAGGCGATCCATGACTGACACGAACTATTGACGAGATCATTTAGTTCTGATCACATGCATTTTCTTCATCTCATGTGGCCTCCTAGCTTACCTTTGTCTGTTGATAGACCTGCCATTGTGGTCGTCACAGGAGACCTGCTGGCTTCGGCGTCTGAGGTTGGGGAAAGCATCCGTGTGGGGGTAGGCTGGGGCTCCAAATGTAAGGAGCTTTGAGACTCAGGCTGTGTCACCGTTTCCACAGGAAGATTGTCTGTCTGGGGCGAAGGTATCAAGGGCTCGTGAGACTCCTTCCGCTGTCGTCGGCTGCTGCCTTTTATCAGTCGGCGGCGGTCGACTTTGGGATATTCGCATTGAGTAGCCCTCCCACGATTCACGCAACTAATGCATGGGAAGGCAGAGTCGCATCGAATCTTGGACGCTCTGCAAAGCAGACATGCCTGGCCGATGCGCTGGCGATCTTCTGGTCTGACCTTGGGGCGAGGCATTGCAGGTGTTGTTTGTAGCTGGTATCGGGGCGATTGTTACTGCTGAGTTCTGAAAACCCCGTCGTCAGCCTTATCCTAACGCACCTATCGTCATCGGTTGTAGTGCATGCGTCGAGGATCTTAAAAAGGGTTTGACGCCGTTTATTGACGGTGCTATTCTTCTACGTACGTCGATGTTGAGATGGAAGGAGACCTTGGGGAATGGGCCGGAGCGGAAAGATAAGCAACAAGCGAAAGTATTATGATTGGTCATCTCACTGCCATCAATCTTTGCCGTCCTCCACTTCCCCCCTCTACCCTGTCTCCGCCACTCTGTGTGGGTGCCGCTTCCCCTCTCTCAACAGGGAATTGTATTGGTCGACACCGGACTACACGCCCTGAACTTGGCTAGTAGACAAGAGGCGATTTTATGATACAGGAAGTGACAAATCATCATCATAGCCGCTAGCAGTATGACGAACGTGGAATAATTGTAGTAGTATTCTTCCGAACAATTTATGAGGCTGTCGTAATCGATCTGTAGTTATTACATATAAGGCAATCCCGGTCGATAGATGTCGTGAAATGAGCGATGACTTTACATAGCGAGTCCTATCCAGAGGATGTATCTAGTTCTATCACACAGGTCATGCTATGCAATGGAAAAAAAGAGGGAAGGGGGGGGGGGGGGGGTTCCGGTTCAAGTGCATATTTGAAACTGGCAAAGTAGATAACAGTTCCCAAAAACCTTACCCTCGCTTCTTCATGTGCATCTATTGTTGTTGGTACATTGCTAATTACCCTCCTGTGTTGGAAGAGGTATGAATCAAAGCAGCGTGCTCGAAAATGCGCACTCGAAGACTTGTCTAAGTTTTGATAATCACGATGATAGGTTGTTGTTGTTCTATATTTCTCACTTTCTCTACACCTCTTGAGATTATCGTTGATGGTCTCCCCGTCACACTTCTTGGGTTTGAGACGTTATATCATAGCTTTAAAGTTGTCACCAGTTGGGAAATTTCGACCTGGCTGCATCAGTATTGCTTGTGTGCTTACAGGAAAAAGGGCTGGGATGTTCTCTAGGCATGTCGGAAGACTCACAAAAGACGAATCCAGCTCGGAGAGAGAGCAAACTCCTAGTAATGCCATCGTCGTCTCCATCTCATGCTTCAAGATGCGGATTGCCTTTCCAACACCAGCTTTCCCGTAAACCATCGAAAATAAAAAGCCCCGGCCTAGACCTACACCTTTAGCGCCTAGGCAGAATGCCTTGACAATATCTGCGCCGCGTGTGACTCCACCGTCTATTATAACTTCGCGGCTTCTGAGCAATGTTGGACAGTATTTACGAATGTCAATCAGTGTTTCGAGGGATGATGGAGCGCTGTCGAGCTGCCTTCCTCCGTGATTAGATAGCCACGGATGCACATTGTCGAATTCGAGGCATCGGGCAGCATCTTGCCAACGTTGAATTCCCTTGATGGCCAGTGGTAGATTCGTTATGCTTCGAATCCATGTGACTGCCGATATCCAGTCGAATTCGATGTAGACTGGCCTTGCTTTGCGGTCAGCATTCCCTCTTGAAAACGAAGTCAGTTTAAGACAACCTACGGTCTCTTGATTGTAGTTCCGTAGTAAAACTCAGAGCCCCTCTCTCCTCCTCCTCCTTCTTCTTCTTCCATACTAGCGCTGGTGTTATGTTTTGCAGCCACGTCATCGAGGCTATTGCGCACATCTCTCTCTCTGAGGCCTGGCCAAACTGCATCGACCGTGAGTGCAAAGCCTGTATACCCTAGCTCGAGGGCATGTCGAAGTTCTCTCTCTGACTTCTTCAGATCTGACTTGGCATAAATTTGCCAATACAGAGTTTGACGTCCGCTCCGAGCAGCCGCCATTTGGTCCATGGTGCAGCCGGCGTTATTACACACCCACTGAAGAATTCCATGCCTAGCTGCAGCGCGAGTAAGCAGAACCTCTCCCTCACTATTTGCGAGCTTGCCACCACCGGCCGGAGCGATAAAAAACGGAGCTGAGAACTGATTGCCGAATATAATGCATGAAGTGTCGACATGCAATATCGGGCGAAGGACACGAGGGCGAAAACGTACAATACGCCAGCTTTTTCGATTCCATGTTGATGCAATTTCATCCTCTGCGCCTGCGGCAAAAACTTGGTCGATAATGGTAAGAAAGTGAGGCTACAACATCTTGATTTCAGAAGATCTTCAACTTACAAGCATAGGATTGCTTCGAAAGTATGGTTTCGGCGGCCTTCTCGAAATCTGCAATGTTGATAATTGCGGAAAGTGATGGACGCTTCGTGGACAGGTTTTCATCGCTGCACACAACACCGGAATTCCCTCGCGAGCTTTCTTCGTTCTCCGTAACTGGACCAAGGTTCTGCCTGCAATGGTTTGGTAAGCGTGGTATAAATGCATGGCACCGAGCATCTTACTCTGCGCTGAGGCAATCCTTCAGGGTACCTGGAGGATGCAGTGGGACAAAGGCATCAGTTGCGTCGCGGCCCGCGTACGAAAGCAAGACTGCCTCACCGCCAGGATGAGAGCCAACAAATTGAGTCACATCGTAAGCTATCTTGTTGATGACTATCCAGCAGCTGTTGCGGGAAGCATGTTTTCGAACCTCGGACATACTAGGAAGGAACACATCAATCAATCATGGGTTCCGATGCTAAGGTTACTAAAAGCAGTGATAAAGGTGGTTCTTACCTAACCGCCATGTTGGCGAAATAGCCAAGAAGAGGAACAGCAAGACGGGCAGCGATTTGTGACCACCAGGCCGCTGAAAAAAATCAAGAAAGAGACCTTTAGGATCAACGTACTCTCCGACTGAGGATTCTTCTGGGGTTCGACAGATCACACATTTCCCGATAGTTGAAATCAAATATTCCCTCGAACGAGCTTTGTCTGCCAGTGAGCACAAAGCGGTTAAGCCGAATTACTTAGTGCCTGTCTAGTCAATGTGAGAGGCTTCATAACACTGACCCATGCTGCTACTGCAAGGCTTATCTACAGGGGCATTAGCCGAGCCCTGCATTCGGCTAAGGGAATCAGTGGACCAGATCTCTCATGCTCCACGTCGATGGAGACAGATCCCACCCATACTCGAAAATGGAAGGGAAAGAATAGAGAAAATGTACGTCTGATGATGTATTTCTGGACGCGAACGCCGTGATAAACAGGCCCAGAACTAAGCGTCCTACAGGTTCCACAGCTCGAAAGCATTCTTAATAAATCGCTCCGACGATTATGGATCGGGTGTATGCACAGATCGCCAAGGAAACGATCACCTTTAGACCAAACGATGACGTTGTGAGAGAAAGCCTTCGTGAAGGCAATTACGCCTCGCTAATGATAGAAACAGAAATGGCGTGATATCTTTACACCGTTTTACCCACCTACGCCTGGAGACATCACAGTACATCGTAATGAAACCTATGGCCCCGCACAAAGGAACCGGCTAGACGTCTTCGTTCCCGCCGATATTGTGCGCGCCAACCCAGTGTTGGTGTATATTCATGGGGGCGGCTTCTTTTCTGGGGATAAGCAATGGAACGAGAAGGTATGAGTACTCGCATCACGTCCTGAATCGTTTGGTCTCATCCACCTCACATACCTTAGGTCTATTCGAACGTTGGCTACCACTTTGCGCAGCAGGGCATTGTCACTGTAATAGCGAACCATCAGCTTGTGCCATACATACAATACCCTGGTGGTGCCGACGACATGCAGCTCATACGACAATGGGTTCACGACAATATATCTTCGGATAGATATGGTTGTGGATCGCCGCAAAAGGTGTTTCTTATGGGGCATTCGTCCGGCGGCGCGCATTTATGCATGAATCTTTTTTCTGCTGGTAGGCACTGCCCTGACGACTGAACAACTCAAAGTCCAACCGATCCCGATATAGGTGACCCCAATCGGCCATTCATCGAGCCTCTTGCTCCACCCGTAGCAGGACTACTCCTCATTGACGTGCCGTTCTGGTACAATGCGCACAAGCCTGCTCGTGCTAATGTTCTCCGACATTACTATGGATCCGACGATGAGGACGTATGGGGGGTACGTTGCACTATCCGTCGTTATATGGCTGAGGTTACTAACGGCTTTCATAGCCAAAGTCAGCTCTGGGGTTACTCCAGCGCCTTCCAAACGACTCTACCGTCTTGTAAGTTTCTATCAAGGCGTTACCGTCCGGAAGACAGCTTTGAGCTCAAATGTCATTTTGTAGGGACTCAAGAAAGTTACCAATTTTCATAGGCTCCGTGGAGTGGGAGATGTACGTATTCTATGCTCCACGTGCGGTGATATTCCATGCCGATGGGAACTAAAACTGCCCGCTGTCTTAGTCCAGAAACTGCTGATGCAATGGTCATGTTTCTCGACGCTTACAGGGCTGCGAGCCAACCCATAGCTACTCTCCCAACCCTGCATGTGCTCAAGAATCATAACCATTTAAGGTTCCAGATCATTCCCTCTCAATCTTTAGCAAAACGACTGACACCCTTCAGCAACATTTTGTCCATAGGTACGGACGACACAGCTCAGGCTGACAAGATACTTGAGTTCATGGAAGACTGTTTGGGGTCTAGATAACTTACATTTATGAGTTTATCTTGCCAAAGAGTAGTCTATGTAGTAATCAATTCAGGTTTGATCCCCTTTCAGGAGATCGCGATATAACTTTGATACTTGTACGAGGGTCAGGTGGACACAGGCGTCCTAGATCGAGGACAAACGTGCTACTGCGCAGACAGGAATTATTTTTCATGTCCTATGAAGCCAGCCAGCTCGGTGCATTAGAAGATAATAACATATCCTCATTTATCTCTTTTTCAATCCCTCTGAAGCTTGCCCCTGTCTGTAGATTGTTGTTTATTGCTTCCGTTGATGTCGGTAGTTCGCGATGCCTTCACCCTTACGTGCACAGGCGCGGTGTCCGATAGACGCCAACTCTCATCGAGTTTCGTTAACGAGCAAGACTCCTGGGTTCAGTTCCTTTATAGAGCTACCGGCGGGAAAACAAAAGGCGATCAAAAAGTCTAGAATAAGCGAACAGTGTGTTTAGATTTTAATGTTCTGATAGAATTTATCACAGAGCTACTCTTCCTGCGTAATCTTCGTATTGCAGTCGTGCGCTGAGACGGCAATGTATTGTTGCCATGTTTTTCTCACACATCCATTTGTACAGCACGGTCAATGATATCAGCTACATCATTGAAGCGGGGTGTGATTATGGCGTCAAAATCAGTCGGTGGCGGCCTGCAAACCATTAGAACAGTTCAGAAGAGACATTTTGGCTAACAAAACTTACGAGGCAAGAAAAGCGCCCCAGTCCAATGGGTTCAGACTCGGCAGAACGGGGTTACCCTTTTGATCTCGAGGAGCTTTGATATCGAAAGCCCAAACCATACTTGCAACCACTGCTGGCATAAGCATGTATGTTTCGGGAAGTATGGCACTTACTTACAAAGAAATAATGTCTGCTCTGCAAAATGCACTCCAAGGCACTTTCGGCTTCCACTACGGTACCTGTTAGCGTAAGGTCGCGTGGGTCAATCGAATGAATGTCTCACAAGCCAAAACCAGCATGCGGCAAATCGTTTAATTGACCTGCACTGTCCAAGAACCTTTCGGGTTTAAAGTCATCTGGATCCGGATATAACTTCGAGTCCTGGTGTATGTAATGCGACAATGCGAATACGGTCGCTCCCTTTGGGATCAAGTAGCCCTCGTAAAAGTCATCTTCGACAACAGAGTGAGGAATTGCCACAGGAGCAACTGTTCGCCAGCGGAAGGCTTCCCGAATCATTGCTGTAATGTACGGTATTCGAGATATATCATCGAAGGTTGGAAGCCGGTCTCGTCCAATGGCTCCGTCGATGACTGATTGAGCCTTGGCTAAGACATGGGGAAAATACATGAAGATAATGATGAAGACAATGCTCGTTCCTGTGAGTGTTTCCGTGCCGGCGTCTACCATAGCAGCAGAGATGGTCATACCCTCATATAGACTAATCTGATCCATTTGGGTCTCCATTAGTGTTTGTGCGAGGCTTGGGAAACCATATGTCTTTTCTTTGCTTCTGAGACGAGTTTCGTTCCAGAGCTCAAGAAAGAGACTGTCAGCTTGATGGCGCCATTTAAGGCCCTGCCGTTTCCAACCCATTCCTGGTAACCATGCGGGGAGGTTTTGCAATTCAGGCAAGTAGTCTACCCAGAATCGACCTTGGATCTGCGAAATAAATTGATGATCCGTGACATCATTGATACGATGGACCAAGGGGTTGTCCAGGCTTGGTATCGAATCCCGGGAGAATGTCGTGCGTAGCATGACATTGACTGTAAAGCACTTGATGATGCTGGTAAACCTGTCTGGGTCCCGTACCAGCCGCTGCAATAATAGCCTGGACTCTGGCAGAACGGCTGGATGAGCCCAATGTTTCAGGGTCTTGGCTCTGAGTCGTTCAGCGAGGATCCTGCGCTGCTTCTTGTGCGTGTTGTGGTGAGTGCGAGAGGTCCCAATATACCATCCGTTCTGCGTAACCATCTCTTGCGCCATGATAAGTTGTGGCCTATCACCATACTTGACCATGCGTTTCTGTAGAAGAGCCTGTGCATGGGACATCTTACCCAGAAGGACAGTAGGTTTACCCATGACCCAGAACATGACTATGTCGCCATGTTCCTGAGCCCAGTTACTGTATGTGATCCACGGTCGCTCATTGTTAATGTCGAGAAGGCTTCCCAGAAAGGGTAACCCTTTAGGGCCCGGGGGATAAAGCGGTCTGGGCTTATTGTGTTGCTTTAGAAAGAAACCCAAGATTATGGTGCCAATGGCGATGGCTATAAGGAGATCGAGTGACATCATGAAAACTTGACTGAAAAATAGGCATCCTAGGGTGGCTGACAGCGGGAGGTGAGAAGGAGTTGTTTTTGAAAGGACCAAGTAATGATCAATGGCCCGTTAATCAACGTTGAACAAGATCCGATGTCACTCGGCTATGTACAACGAGCTATGCGCCACTAGCTGCTTGCATATGTCAAGAACATGAACGCGAGATAAGACTTTGGGTATCCCTTATCGGTGCCGAATCTGTGACAAAAGAAGTCTCCACAAATACAGGGCAGAACTTGCAATAGAGCAACCCGTACATGATAATCAGTCTTTTCCTTATCCGCAAACTCCCGAAACAAACCCGGCCGGTGATTACCGGCTATGACTACGGCTAGGGAGATAACCGATCGAGTTTCACAGGGTTAATTCCGGATGACGGCGTATAAATGAGGCAGAATTCACAATGATTTCCAGAAGACTACCAATAATACGTGGAGTAATCTTACCCGTCCGCTTCAATCGTCCATTCAAAGTCTTCTGCTCGCCCATTATGTCAGGCCCGCGATATCCCGCAATTCCTCCTCATGAGCTCACTCCCGAACAGAACGTATTTCATATAGAAATGGAAGACAGGATCCGCAATGGCATGGGTTCAACGTGAGCTTACCTAACCTGTCCAGCTCAAGATAGTTGATGATGCTGATCATGGTATAGTTTCACACTGCAAGACAAAGACGGTGCTTTGCTGGGCCCGTTGTCCATGATGATGTATACACCCGGGTACTCGACCCACACCATGCGTCTCAACAGAGAAGTATTGAATCTTAGGGCACTTGAGCCTGAGCCTACGGAAGTTGCCATCATGGCGGTTCAGGGGTATTTTACTGGCTCGTTTGGGGGATTCCTCATTTACTCCCATTCTCGGATCATCGCGAGTAAAAATTTACTTTCGGAAGATCAAATGCTCAAAATCACACAATCCATCAAGCCCGAGGGCTTGTCTGAGAAGGGAGACATCGCTTTTGAATTGGCAATGAGATTAGTGAAGGGGGGGCAGCCACTGGAAACGGAAATATGGGAGAAGGCCAACGAGATCCTGGGCAAGGAACAGACGCTGCACTTGATACAAGTTATTGCGTATTACTGCCTACACGGGGTCACACTAAACGCTGGAATTGTTGGTGTTCCTGAGGGTGAAAGGATATGGGAAACATAGACATGGTATCCTCACGTAACTAAATTCCTCACTTACATCAACTTTTTTCTTCTCACCATTCAAAAGTTGACTTTCCTACTGCGGAAAGACTATGAAGAATGTTCCAATGTCTGTCTCACGCTGCTTACCAATTGATTTGGTAACAAAGTTTGAGCAGGATAGCATCTCGCAGACGCACATTTGCCAAGCTTGACTCTGTTGGCCAAAACGATTCAAGTCGTGACTGAACAGATCAATGTGCTCAATGGAGCCGGAATAATTTCAAATCAAGTGTTTAGCCGATGAGATACGGAAGAAGCATCGGGACAGAGTGCAGAGTGGGACAAAGGAGTGTGGGAACACAGCCGTGCGGGGGTAAGCTTGCACCATTACCCTATTGAGCTGGGTAGTGGCGTAAGAAACTGAAGCTGCAGCTTAGCGAAGCTCTTGCGTCGCTTGAGAACAAGGTATGGATCCCTGTGCGGGTGGAGAAGTTGGTGATGAATCGGGGCGATGATATGGCTATACATAATCGGCAGCAGCGATTCCATCCTCTATAATTCGAAGCCAAGCTTGTGAAACAATTCAAAATACCACAAACCCCAAGAAGCTCCAGTCACTTTGTTGTTCAAAATCTTCATCATCATGGCCGAGAGACTTGTCCCCGTCATTTCACTCCACGGTACGTAACGCACGAGATAACCTTGGCGACTGTATCCCTAACATGCGCTGCAGACTTCGAGAGTCGCAAGAAGGCGATCACTGAAGAGCTTGTGCAAGCAGCTGAGTTCGCAGGTTTTTTCATATTAGTCGATCATGGCATCACTGTAGATGAGATTGAAGCGCAATTCGCCATTTCCAAGGCATTTTTCGACCTCCCGACAGTAACCAAGGCAAAGACTTCTCATGACACAAATACAAATAACGGATGGGAATACAAGGTGAGGCTTCAGACTTCTATTCGCAAAGCTGAATTTTGATTTGAGCTGAAGTATATTCCGTGAGAAATAGGCTCAGCTACGTCAGAGCACTGGATCGTATGATCAGAAGGAGTCGTTATGGCTGATGCCTCGTTCACAATGGCCTAGCGATACAGACGTTCCTCTTTTCAGCCAGACGACTGAAAGTTTCATGGAAAAATGTTCCGGCATATCGTATAAAATCTGTGAGTTGGCTGCTCCTTACTGACATGACCGTATCGCGGCTTAATTACGCATTTTGATCTCACTTTCATCACGCAGTGTCATGCTTCTCTGTCGCTCTCGGCTTTCCCGAAGACTACTTCGTTCGCGCCAATGACGTGAAGCAGTCCGACTGCATGACCCAGTTGCGGCTCATCCATTATCCGCCTATGGAGAATGCAGCGGGCATGTGGCGAGCCGGTACGCACACAGACATAGGGTGCTTGACTTTGCTCTTCCAACGAGATGGCGAAGACGGCCTAGAAATTTGCCCAGGTCGGGAGTCGTACACTAGCTTCGGTATGGGTGATGTCTTCACACCACTCCCCGCCAAGACAGGGCCTATCGTGGTCAATATTGGAGACATGATGAGTAAGACTTTTCCAGTAAATCCCTCAAGAGAGCAAGGAGAGTATCTCATAACCTTCTTTTTTCCTCCAAACAGTGGCCTGGTCCGATGACCGACTCAAGAGCAACTTCCACCGTGTTCGTGCCAAGGATTTGGGCGAATCTCCTTCTCGCTATTCAATTGCGTACTTCAATCAGGGCAGGAGAAGCTTCATACTCCAAGGCCCGCTCAAGAAGTAGTTAGTTTTCCACCTTTACTTATGTGTGTCTGTCTTCAAGTGGACATTCTGACTTTATTTTCAATAGCCCTGCAATGACAGTCGGCCAGTGGTTTGATGACTCGGTATCAAAGAACTTTGGACGTTGAAAGGCGGCGAATTTGTATTGCATGAAGATAGTCATCTGAACTCAAAAGAATTTTTGAGTTTTGGCTTTATATTGTTGAAGCACCTGTTCTTGAAATGTTAGCGTTCCTTAGACATGGTAATGGCTACTGATATGTCTCATGATTTACTTTTGAAAACTAACAGCCATCACCGAGCCATCGTCAAAAAAGCACTTCGCAAATTGCTCCCCTAAGGTACCTCCATTTCTCGGAGTCGCTCCTGCGGCTTCGCAAGCACAACCAACGGTCTGCGTGTTAATATTTGCGTTTTCTCCCTTTTTCCCTTGATTCTCCTACCCGAAATGGGGGCGGGGGCGGTGTTTGGTTCTTATATCTCTACTTGTTTCAACTTTATAGATGTCGCACATGTTGAGTCATTAGTCAGGTTCGATTGATCTCATGATGGGGTGCGGTAAGTATCAAGCATACTCATGAGTCTGAGACCCTTTTAAGAGAGCTAGACACGCTATTATCTGTATAGAATGGGAATCATACGACGGCATGTGTTGTCAACGGTGGAATCAATGTTTGATCCAGAGCACTTCGGTAAACATATTCTGACTATAATGTTGTCATTCTTTGAGTATCACTGCTCTAGCCAGCTGAGATGCCACCAAGCATTTCCTTCTTTTCTGTCTGCCACAAACGAAAAACCTTCTTACGGGGCGGCAAGACCTGTCTAGTACGTCATATTCACCATGATTGTCTTTGGTTCAGTGAAGGCCTTGAGCGCATAAGCGCCACACTCTCTTCCTATGCCGCTCTCCTTAACCCCTCCGAATGGTACGTTGAAGAAGTTCAAACTGATACAATTGACACCAACCATGCCGGATTCGAAGTCAGACGCGACTCGCAAGGCTTTGTTGATATCTTGGGAAAATACACCAGCCATAAGACCAAAGCTTGTACCATTGGACAGGGCCATTATCTCCTCTTCAGTCTTGAACCTGCGGAGAACTGAAATGGGCCCAAAAATCTCATGCGTATGGATCTCCGACCCTACATCAACGTCCGTGAAGACTGTGGGTTCCAGAAAGAATCCCTGACGGAAAGTATTCAGTACAGAAGGGTATGATACAGAAGCCGGATTATACTAACCTTGTCCCCTATTCGCGCACCTCCAAGCGCCAGAGTTCCTTGCCCGTTCTGGCCACGGGCAATGAACCCCATAACACGATTGAACTGTGCTTGGTCGATCAAAGGGCCCAGCGAGCCATTCGTCTGGTTCTTCATAGCCTCCGACTTGGCTTTTAGCGCTTCTAAATAAGCCTCAAGGAAGCGATCGTAAATCCCCTCTTGGACGTAGACGCGGCTAGCAGCAAAACAGACCTGCCCAGAATTCATCGTGATTCCCTGAACGGTCCACCTAACCGCGTTCTCAAGATTGCAGTCATCGAAGACTACTGCAGGTGACTTGCCTCCTAGCTCCAGAGTCACTCGTTTCAAGTTGGACTTAGCAGCCATCTCTTGAATCTTCCGACCCGTAGGTCCGCTTCCGGTGAATGTGATCTTTCGAATACGCATGTGACTAGCTAACAAGGAGCCAGTTTCTCCATCTCCACTTAGGATCTGAAAAACACCGGGGGGGAAGCCAGCAGCTTTGACAAGTGAGCCGAACGCTAGGGGAGACAAGGACGCCTTTTCTGACGGCTTGAGAATGAAACAATTTCCAGAGGCGAGTGCTGGGGCTGCTTTGAGACCTATTGTGATCAAGGGACCGTTCCAAGGGATGATTGCCGCTGTTACTCCGAGAGGCTCGTGTCGCACAATCTTGAGAAAGCCGTCATCTTGTGGGAAAGACTCACCAGCGAGCTTATCGATCCAGCCGGCATAGTAACGAATTCCTTCAATTGCGCCGGCGATTTCATCTGAAGTAGACGTCATTGAAGCCCCAATCTCCAAACGGCTGATGCTTGCCAAGCTTTCCGCATGTTCTTCCATCAGATCCGCAAGCTTGAACAGCATTTGCCGACGCCGATTGGCTTGGACATGCTTCCAAGTCCTGAAAGCATCTTCAGCGTATGCCACTGCCAAATCGACATCTTCTTCTCCTGCTACAGGGATCTGATCTGATAGGAGAGCTCCATCTCTGGGGTTGTATGTTGCAAGTGTTCTGGTGTTCTTTGCGTCGACGTACTCATTATTTAGAAAAAGCTGCCCAGGAAGGTGGGCCGTCGAGTATGGTATAACCATGATAAACAGAGTTTTAGACAACCGCGTAGATTTGGCAATGATCAAAGTTAAGGAATGAAGAGAAAAAAGACAACAAGAGAAACTTCATGTCAAGTGGTCGAGATATAAACACAAGTGCAGGTTTCATCGGCCCTTGCGGGCTCCCATTAGGCGAACGATCTAAGCACACTTTATGAACCACCTCGTTGATCTGCGATAAGCGCCGACCCCTGCAAAAAAAAAAAAAAAAAAAGCCGTAGTGACTGACCAAAGGCAGGAAGCCAACAGAACTTAGCCGGTTAGGACGATGCGACACCTCCCAAGATCCAGTTGTGAGGGTGATAAGAGTGGTGCTAATTGTATCAACAGCTGGATCACCAAACGTATCATGGACTAATCCAAGTTGGGGTGGCTGATTGAATCACAGACAAACCTTACTAGCGTTGATAACACAGTCTCTACCGTACTACAATCAATCCCATGTGCTGTGAGAAAGGTTGCAGTTGCGGTGGGTAAGGGGGTTTGACCCCGCATCGAACTCAGAAGAGGGGCGCTCTACTGATTCCAAAGGACGATTGAGGCAATCTGGGCTAGGCTTAGAACCACCCTTACGAACTGCAATGGAAGCTGAACAGATGGGGCAGAACACGCCTTCGCTCCCCAGGCGATTGACTCGACATCCGAATCACTTTCAGTATTATGGCCGGGCGGAAGGCTAAGGATTGAGGGCTGAGCATTTGATAACGAGAGCGTATCGAGGCATGGACACTGCGTATCGTGTAATAAGGTAGGCTGTGAGATGCCATTTGTAACAAAATTTGAGTTGAAAAGCCATCTGTCCAACTTATCTCTTAACAAAACTATGTACAGAATTACCCACATGCACTCAAAACTGACCAGCTTAGCGGAGCCGAAACGATGCATGCGATTCAGGTGTTGAACGGTAACATTGATATCAACACTGCCGTCAAGATTTGCCGGAGTTCGTTTCCACTGAAAGGTGGAGAAAAGGCTGATAGGTTCGGGGCAAGCAGTTAGGGGTGCGTCACACCACAACAATGCTGAACAGCCAACGAGGCCAGACTTATGCCGGCCAGCAGCTCTGCCGTCGGGTAAGTTCCCTTCGCTCTAGTAGTGCCTGCTGGATAAGAGGAATACTACCGTTCTAACATACCTTGCTATGGGTAGTAGGGCGCCGGCCCGCTTCCGCTTATCTGTGCGGACCGTCACTTATCCACGGCTGTTCAGTGAAAGATATTAAGAATTTAGAATATTCGTCCGCAAATTCTCCCAATCGCGACCCACACGTGTTATGCCTTTGTGTTGGATTTACAGCCTGTCTTTCACTACTCATTCTTACAAATCGTGACATGTGCTGCAGAGACGGGTACGGTAGTATGACATAGCACGGCACCGCCATTTTTAGTCTTCGAGGTATCTGGAGAGGTCAAGATAGAAGTCTGATACAAACACGGATCGGCGAGGCCGTACTGGTGGACATTTTGTGGGTGGCTAATGTAGTGCAGTCCAGCTGGTGACATAAGAGCTGAGTAGGCTGTGGTTGATAACACAGCCTAATAACAAGTATCACCATCGTTGATGCCGTAGTCATCGTTATTAACCCTCACCTGTAGAAGGTTTATCGGCTCACAGTCGGCAGGAAGCTGGGTCTACTGTCGCTCTCAGACACCTACTGCATTCTTGGCGCTAATTCGAATTGGGACTGACCAATGCTTCTCTTATCTAAGATAAGTCGCTGCTAGAGATACATGACGGCTCTTGCCCCGGTACTGATGAGTATCTTCCGGCTGTGTTCTAAACCCAGAAGAAGCGAACAGAGCCAGCTGTATCATATGTTCCGGCGCTAGATGGACACTTGATAGGGCTCTCGATTCGCCAGCGTGCATTGATTAACCTCCAGCCAGCATCTCTGATCAGATTCATCATCCACAAGACCTTTAAGTAAAGCTTCAGCGGACTCAGAACATACAGAAACTTTGTATTGACTTGACTCGGTGAGATATACAAAGACCCTCACAGAGATACAGCCATGTCATTGCCAAACAGCGCTCCTCACGTGGGTACCGTCAATTACGATCAGGCACAGGTGCCTGGGACCGTCTATCTTATTGATCTAGACGGGCATCTGAACGCTTGTCATGAGAGCCGACGTAGCGACATCGTCCTTGTTCCTACCCCATCAGTAAGAAACATTCTCAGATCGTCATTTGGTCCATGGCTGGCTCACCATCCAATCTGCTCAGAGTGATCCCGATGATCCATTGAACTGGAGCCCTGTGCGCAAGCGGGTTGGGCTTCTTTGTTCCATCACCTACTGTACGACGGTTGGTATTTGCTCGGCGGCTCTATACTCCGTTCTGGGCGATATTTCGGCGAATTCAGATCTTTCCCTGGCCGATCTCAACGCAGGAACCGGCTACATGTTCTTGTTCGCAGGCATAGGCTGCTTAGCATTCCAGCCACTCGCGCTTCAGTTTGGAAAACGACCAGTCTATTTGATGAGCTTACTTGGGAACCTTGGAATGATGCTTTGGGCACCGTATACGACCTCAAAAGGAGAATGGTTCGCTAGTAAAATTCTGCAGGGGTTGTTTAGCGCACCGTTGGAGAGTCTCTGTGAAATAACTATTGCCGACCTGGTGAGTAGTTGATATTTCTGGCTTTTACAGCAGTCTTTAACTGATTCATCGTCTAGTATTTTGTCCACGAGCGTGGCTTCTACATGTCCTTCTATGCCCTTGCCCTCTCCGGGAGCAGTATGTCTGCGCCAATATTTGCTGGTCTGATTGCAGCTGGACAGTCTTGGAAATGGGTATTTGTAAGTTGTAAATATGGAATTTGAGATAGCTGTTCCGTTATTGGACTTTGGAAACTGATGACGGCCTCCAGTTCTGGTGCGCGATATTGTGTGCTGTCACAATCGTCGTGCTTTTCTTTTTCTTGGAGGAGACAAACTACAAGCGGTCAAATGTACCCGTTGTCCTAGGCGGAGTCAACAACCCGATCTCGCTGGAGGCAACTTTGTCCGGAGACAGAAAACCAGACACCGGTACCGTCCAAAGTAATATGAACCCTGGCATCGAGTCGAAAGGGACACAGGTCACGTACCTAAAACAACGATCTTTCTTGGACAAGTTGAAGCTTTTCGACCGGGCACGAATGGGATCTAACGGAGCCTTCCTACCTATGCTTTGGCTCCCATTCAAATGCATGCGGCTTCCTTTGATCGTTTTCTGTGGCTTCTATTACGGCTCGAGCTTAGTCTGGTACAGCGTACTCAACGGCACCGCAGCACTAATACTGGAGGGCCAGTATGGATTCTCGACGACTGCCATCGGTGCCTCCTTTGTGGCTCCCCTCCTTGGTGTGTTTGCTGGCTCCGCGTACACGGCATATTTCGGCAATCCATGGACACTGCATCAAGCACGCAAGAACAACGGCATACTCGAGGCCGAGCATCGCCTGTGGCTCCTGACGCCACCGATAATGCTTCTACCGTTGGGGTTGGTGCTGTGGGGCGTGGGAGCGGCACAGAAAGTCCACTGGTTCGGCGTGCTCTTCGCTATGTTCATAGTATCCGGCACGAGCGCGCTTTCAGTACAAGGCTCGACTACGTACTGCATCGAAAGCTACCACCTAATCAGCGGCCAGGCCATGGTTTCCATTATGCTGATTCGCAACACGATGAGTTTTGCTGTCAACTACGGGCTAACGACCTGGGTCACAAATATGGGGCTCCAGAATGCTTTCATCCTTGCCGCGGTCGCAGGTGCATTTCAGACGGCGTCGGTGCTTCCCGTCATTAAGTGGGGTAAGGTGTTGAGGAAACGGAGTGTTTCAACTTACTTCAAGTATGCAAACCTATGAGTGTTAGTTTGCCCTGCATTGTTGCCATCGATTTCACGAAGTATGCTACTTGGAGTTAGAGAGTGTTGTTATTGTCGCGCGATTCTCTGTTTCCAATACGCGAGTAGTATTTGTAAGCACATTATGGGACCATCCCCTTATTGGTAGATTGCCCCAGCTGGTACGTCTCTTGGTTTTACCTTTGACGTGGGGATTCCATAGGGACGCATGCTTCTCTAGGACGCGTCACATCATTTGCCTCTGCTTAAGGTAGCTGAAGCAAGCAGTATTTCCCTGTGAAGGCAGTGAATGCAATTGTGTCAATACGTCTGTTGCTGTTATCCTACTAGGCTGTGATCATAATACCCTATTGGACAACCTCTCATAACTATGAAAAGCTACCTTCTCTCTGCTAGGCCTCTACGATCCCAAAAATTGCCCTATCTCTGGTGCGTTGCTGGAATTTATAGCCCATCAGGGCCAGCTGGTCGCAATAGGCAATTAATTCCAGCTGGGACAGTGAGAACTCGTTACAGATCTGTTTCACGTAACTAATGATTGTATCGAAAAATTGATATGCTAGACACCTCATTATGGACTTACAAGACCTAGGACGCACAAGGTAATTAGTCATTAGACCCCATTCGGCCCCGAAAGTCTCTCATCTCCACTATTCTTGTTGATTGGTACAACGAGTCTTAAACAAAGCGTCCGGACAATATCCGTAATATCGGACCTTGTTTCTCGCTGTTGGGCCAGCCAATGAATGAGCTCGGAAACGTTCACTCTTTTGGGATAGCTTCTTGGACTGCCATTTGTAAGCTGATGTAGATCCCCTGCAATGTCCCTTGGCCTTATAAATCCTGCCCGACATATTGGTTTTTTGATCATTGAGTAAGGTAAATACTCTCAATTCCATATATACATTTGCTTCCATATCCTTTGAGCCATCTCAGAATCGTATATCTCTTTATTTACCAAGCAGATACGAGACAGCAGTTGCTTACCATGACTCCCGCCACATTCTCCTCCTTGGTCGAGGCCCGTTACCAGAATCACACCGCAAACGCCCAAGATGGCCCCCACACGCCAACCATCGAGTTACTGTTGCGTCACCAATCAGTCCGCAAGTTTCTTTCTGATGCCCTTCCTCCAAATGCACTAGAAATGTTTGTCGCAGCTGGTCAGAGTGCATCAACCTCTTCTATGCTGCAGAATTGGAGTCTTATTGCCATCCAAGACCTAGCACACAAAGATGCGGTTGCTACGCTCTGCGGTGATCAGGACTTCATCCGCCAAGCGCCTCTTTTTCTCATTTTCTGCACCGATCTACATCGCATGAGCCACCTTTGCGAGAAATACAACCAGACAGGCGAGGCACTTGATAAACTGGATCTGTTCATGCAAGGCACGCTGGATGCCGCTATCGCGGCTCAAAACATCACCATCGCGGCTGAATCTCTCGGGCTTGGCGTATGTTACGTAGGAGCGGCACGAAACAATGCGGCCCAACTGGCACAGCTTTTGCGCATCCCTGAGCGCTGTGCTCCCGTTTTTGGGCTTGCCGTCGGAAAGCCTGACCCTGTTTCAAACCCTCCTGCTATTAAGCCACGTTTACCTATCGGAGAGGTTCTCCATCGTGAGCGTTGGAACGATGATAGGCAAGACGAGCTTATTGCTTCTTACGACGACGCACTGGGTGCTTTTTACTTTGGTCAGGAGAAACTTGGACGGAAGACTTGGAGCGATCATACGAGCCGCCATGTGTCTACTACTAACCTTGATGGACGCGAGGTTTATAGAACAACTTTGGGTAACCGAGGATTCAAGCTTGATTAGTTAATGCAGAAGAAGTAGTGTATGGGTCTACCTGGATCACGTCTTAAGTTGAAGACTCACGGTTGCTATTTTGTCACGAGTTAGAGCACGCAGCAATGGGCATACGGAGTGTGGTAAAGTGGCTTAACCTATAGAAGTGGAAATAGACAAAAGAGAAAGATCTATGTACAGGACGTAAGTGACTCCTATGAGCTTGCCATAGGAATTGAAGTTTCGACTTGTCCATAGGTCATGTTCATCCTCTGTTTCCGTTATCAGCTTTGGAAGGTCTATTAGCGTTACTGTAGTGTAACGTGGGGAGGCCGAACGTAAGGTTATGGTTATGCTAATAGCTACTCGCTCTATAACGAGGTGGATTTTGTTATACTTGCGATTATCTATAATAGGAGTGCTATATTAATAGACGTAGGATCTTATAATACGTGATTTATGCGCAATAGGTGCGGAAGAAAGCCTTAGATATCGGATATAGAATTATAAGTGACTTTTACTACCGTTCTCGTAGCACTACTTAGTCTAATAAGCCGTGAGGAAAGGCTCCTAGTACCTTGTGAGAAGTATAATGACGCATTTTGCTATATCCTAAGTGTGCTTATCGTTTCTATATGCTAATTAAATAAAGATTAAGGTATATATAGGAGCGTTGACGACTTGCTGTTATGGGCATACCTGCTTGCGAGAGTTACTGTTGAGCCTCTTAAGCTTAATAGAGGAAATTGAGTTTATTTACTAAGCTCTATTAGTGATTTGTCCCTGTTAGAAGCTCGATTCCGGTGACTGAGCAGAACCCGATTTACTCCTTAGCTTCCAAAATACTAGTTCGGTCCTATCTTGAGCATGGGCAATCTCGTGGTACGCAAAACATGTGTCTCAGAGGGATTTTAAATCGTGGTCAAAGTGGCCTGTTTGATGGGGGAGGGAAGATACTATTGAATCGGGCTATTGATTGAGCAAATGCTCATTCACCTTTTCCTACAGATCCTATGCCTGTGAACGGTTATGCTTCAAATCTTCCTCTATTACGGGCAGATATATCGGTTCTATCGTCATCTCTCCAAGGTGATTTGGCCCACTAAAACATAGAGTGTCCATGCAGAGACACAGAAGGTGCACTTGTAGACTCTAGCTCGCATCCCTTGCTGCAACACCCTGCCAGCCACTTGTAGTTGCTCTACTTATTCTTCCTCATTGACCGGGAGTGACCAGGCTGCCAGAGTCCTGCGTCCTGACTCCCTTTCGTGGGCTAGTAAGATTAGGTCATTAGGCTTTAATATTCTCTATTATTATAGCTATCCCCTAATATTATAGCCTTTTACTATTGTTTTTTCTTCTAACTAGTAATAGTTATAAAAAGAAACCTTAAAATAGGATTATAGGTGAAAACCTAAGATAAATATTAGTGACAAAGGCCGATATTAATATATGACCCTCCCTAGAACTATTCTTATAGAAGATAGTTTATAATTAGTAATAAACCTAGTAAACCTATATTAAAAACCCCAATTATTATAGTTACTCTTATAACACCTACCCAGACTTACCCCCCTATTTTTAAATATTATTTTGACGAGGAACTCTCTTTTACTAGGGCTTATGGCCGCGGGTATTAGAACAGGCGTTTCTCAAGCATTTTTTTTCTAGTCTCTATAATCTTTCTCTATTTTTGTTATTATAAGTATCGTAAGACTATTAATATAAAAGCTATTAGCCCCAGACCTTTAAGAGATTATAGGGAGATGGTAAGATATTGAAAAGACTATAATCCCCCTTACGTAATGAACTATTCAGAATATCGGGTAGAGTAGCTTGCTAATCATCACTATACGCACCGTATAGGGGATCTCAAAAGAAGACATATAGCATCGTCGATAACTTCCTCCTTGGCCAAGGACTTTTAATGATCGGCACTGAAGTTGAGAAAAGATTGGAACATTTAGCACAGCTACCACACCATTAAGATTCACAGGTAACTTCTGGGCTGCACTTTTCTGAAAAAGAAAAAGCGTGAATACTTGATTGATACGTGTCTAAGCAATTTGGGGTGTCGAAGATTGATCTTCAGAAGCAATATACGAAACAAGACAAATAACCAAGAGCAGCGCAAAGCAGGGATTAACCGTCTGGTTGATTCACAAGAGCATTTGAGCATACATTGTGCTTCTCTTTATGCGGGCTGCAGGCCCACAAGAGTTCCCGGAGCGGGGAATTGTTTGCCGTTAATCTCCTGCTCACTGAAGAGGAAGTTGCGGTCGTTTTCGAGGTCAGCAATAACGCGCCTCTCATTCTGCGGCGGATACTGCGAGGGCGTTTCCGGCTTGGGGTCGACCAGGCAGGCTCGACCATCAGCGGCTTTCACGTAGTCGGCGTTGATGCCAGGGGTTGTCCAGAAGACCATATTCGGGTCCAGCTCAGATTTGAGGGCAGAGAGACGGCGGTAATTTGAGCCCCAAAAAGAAGTCGACCATTCGGGCTCATCAGCGCTGGCCTGGTCATCTTGTCAGCGTAGTTCTCTTATTCAGGGCACGATCAACAAACCTCGCAGATATATGTGCCCATGTCTGGCGCGAGCTCGCGGAGCTCATCAACGTTGGTGGTATTAGATTTGAAGCCGTTTAGCAAGACGGTAGCCTTTCTCCAGCCGGGGTTGACGGCAGTGTTCGATCCATTTCCAACCGCCATGCCGGGCGATGTCATCAAGACGCCAAAGTTTCCTCCCGTCTTTCGAAGCGCATGTGTAAGATTGGGGCTCTTCAGGTGCTCGTCGCCAAGGAGACGACTGTCAAAGGGGACGACGCCATGATTGCGAGGTAAGTCGGTAGAATTAAAAGCCTCGAGCTGTCCGTATGTTTCCTGGAAGAACTCCTTGTAGCTATCGAAATGGAAATGTTTGCTCTGAAAAGGAGTCATGCCTTCATATGTCTGCATCTTTTCGAGAATTGGACCCCAGACTTCGTTCGCATCTTGCGCGTTCGCCAATGGTCCCGGGTGGATGGCGTGACACCTGATGTTGTCGTTGAGGACGAACAAGTACGCGGAGATGCCCTTCTCCTGGAGTTCCGGCAGCACAGAAAACAGGTATGCCAGGGCTTCGCTGGTAGGAGTTTTGCCGCTCTCTGCATCGGTGTCGTTAATCACGAGGGTGGAGTTAATGTACCAATGGAAGCCGAGGATGGGGATAGTAGGATACACTTTCCATGTTGCTTCGACGACAACGCCAAACGTACCGCCTCCGCCACCTCTGATAGCCCAGAAAAGATCAGAGTTGGATACTTCATTGGCGACGCGGAGTTCGCCGTCCGGCGTGACAACTTTAGCCTCAAGCCACTGGTCTACACCAAGGCCATACTGTGCAGTGAGGGGCCCATATCCTCCATTTTGACCCCATCCACCCCCGATTGCCACTCCTTGCTATTGCAAGTTAGTTTTGGGAAAGTGTCAAAAGTACGGAGTTCATACAGCTGTGCCGCCCACAATGAATAAGCCAGAGGATTCTAGACCGTAGTTCATAGCCAGACTTCCCATGGCCGGATTGAACGTGACTGCCGCCTGTGAACCACTTTCGGGTTCGATCGTCTTCAATTCCTCATCAGCCGCAGGGCTCTCAACACCCTCCTTGGTTGCAGTGAATGACTTTAAGACTCTGGCTCCTCTAAGAAGCGACAAGTCAATGATTAGTCCAGAACCGGCGTCGCTGCGGCCGAGTTCGTCATGCCCGGTTGTGATGATAGTGAGGCGAATGTTCTTCGAGGCGGCGAACTTGACGGCGTTTTGAACCTCCGAGTAGCTCTTGGCGCGGATACGGTAGTTAGGAAGGGGTCCGTTGGCGTCGCTTGAAGTTTGGTTGATGATTCCGGGTAGCCTTGCTTGCCACTCCTCAGCCGTGGGCCAGTCGTCGTCAGTAGGAAGCTTGGAGCATCCAGATGGCGCAACAGCCGCTGAGCAAGCTTGAAGTCCGAGAAGAATGATGAAACAACGAATGAACGAGTGGTTAAAGTGTGCCATTGTCGAGTTATTATTGAGATTGTGCTTGAAGTACAGAAAGAGGTTTGAAGAACGAGACCTTGAACCAATATATATCTACCTGTCTGTCTCCTAGATATCCACACTCCACAAATGAGGTTGCCTGTGGTGTCTTCCTTCCGAGCTTCTGCAAAGTGCTTGTCGTCTTTCTCGTTTTTCACTGGCTCCTCGCCATCGCTCTCGCTCGCATTCGTGTAAGTAATCCGAGTCCCCACCTTTTCGTTTGCTCCCTTCTGTTCGGATTACTCGGCCGTGGGCACTTTCAGACTCTGGAGACAAGTGATAAACCTGACTCTGGCACCGGAACCACCCGATGAATCCGAATACGTTAGCGAGACTCCATGTTGCTTCCAGCTGTTGCAATTTTTGTACCTGTCGTGCAGAAATTAGTGCAGTGGCAAAATGCTCGATTACAGAAATTCTTCTATCATGTTTTCTGCGAGCTCGCATTGTCGCTGTATATGAGACTCATCTATTTATGGCTCTTTGCATAACGAATATCGAGAACGTCGACACATTTTCAACTTCTGCTGGATTGCCGTCTGAGACAGACCTGGGGCATACAAGCTTACCCAAGAAAGTCAGCACAGCCAGGTTCGGTTTCAAAGTTGATTCCATGTCCAGCTGCCGTAAGAATACAGCTATCAACTTGCTACGTGACAAACTGGAAGGTTTAATACTCTACATCACGATAGGGTTTGCTGCAAGAGTCGTATAGAAATGTCCATGTTTTGTAGAGCAAACGTGAAGCACGACCACACTCAACAGCTATCACCCGATGTTGGACCTCACGTGGGAGCAAAAGAAGAGAACCATCGCTGCTGATAAGGCGAAACCTAAATAGCCAGCTTGAAAAGCAGGAACCGTAAACTATATATCACCTTCCTTCGTATGAGTGCCTTGGGCTTGCTGCTCGCATCAACAATTTTCAATCATCGTGTCTGCTCGTTTTCAGAGTTTGAATCCGCCAATCATCAATCTGGTATAAGTGCCATGAGGATCGTACTTCTTGTTTATCCGATTGAGCCTTTCAACGTTTGTAGAGTCGTATCCCGAGAAAACATCCTGAGTATCACCTGCATTATTAAGAGGCACAAAAGGCCACAAGACACCTGCCAACTTGACGTCCAACTCAGAATTGACACCAGCGATTAGCTTGGTCATGAGCTCAGTCTCGTTCTTGAAAGACCAAGAAAAGGTTTGTTCACACATGAAGTACGGCCCAGCGTCGGCATTGACGCCCATCGGGTCCCCGGCAGGATCTTCGCCTCGGTTATTGACGAGAAAAGACTTCGCAATGGGATTCATTGCGAGTGTAGCGATGAATCCGGTGATTCCAGTACCATGCTCTTTTGCATAGTTGAAAAAGGTGTCGTGAGCTTCGTACATGGCGTCTAGATTCGCCAGGATGGTGAAGCCATGGAAGCGGAAGTTCTGGCCGTGAACCCGATCAAAGCCCTCGTCAGATTCCGCAGTCCAGTTGGCCATGGTTCGAATAGAGAATGTGCTAGAGATCTGAGAGGTTGCTTTCGGAGGGAGGAAATCTGCAAGAGATCCAGGGGTGGTGTCATTAGCACCGTTGTAGAATAACTTTGCCGAATAAGTGATGTTGGAACTTGCAGCTGGCACGAAAGAAATTGTCGGGAGGACAAAAGCTCGCTGATCGAGCACACCGTTCTGACTGAAATCGAACAAGTTCTTGATGAAGGAGTCTCTTTGGCCAGCGCCATAGCCTACACTGCCGACAGCAACTTCTGCCGCCTCGACGGTCTTTAAGTCGAATCTAGTGACAATAGCAAAGCTGTTACCGCCGCCACGAAGTGCCCAGAAGAGATCAGAATAGTCGTTAGTAGCGGTAACATACACGACAGAGCCGCATGCCAAGACAACCTAGGATTGCATTAGCAACGACTTCCAGGTGTCCAGCCAAAAACTTCTTACCTTATAGCCAATGACATTTGCTGAACCCCAGCCATGTTCGTTGCTCAAGAAGGACATGCCCCCTCCTAGCAGAAAGCCAGGAACACCAACAACGCCAATGCGGCTACCCACCGCGGTCAACCCGTGGGGGGATAGATATTCATACACATCTGACCAATCATGGCCGGATGCGACCGAAACGGAAGTCCCATTATCGGAGAGTTCAAGGCCGGTCAGGTTTTGGGTCGATAACAGTACTCCGCTGGAATTGATGTTTGCGGCACCTGGAACTGGCATCCAACCGCCTCCGCGCACCGCGAAAGGAACATTTTGCTTCGATAATTCCTTCACAGCATGTCCCATTGCTTCCGAGGTGTCTGGCATAAAGATACACGCTGGTCTCAGCCACTCTTCGGCGCTAAAGTAATCTGCGACAGTCAGTATGCTTGCAGTCTCCGAAATAATGAACAAAGACCTTCAATTTACCCTCATTGACGAGTGAATAGTGTGCATTGTTTGGTAAAACGATTTGTTCCGGATAGTTGTGTTGTAGGATCGAGCAGACTAACGTAGTGTTTCCGTTTGTCGAGCTTGCTACTAACGGCAAGGACGTCAACACAGCAAGTGCTATAGTCGGACTGAATTGATTGCCTATCATCATGAAAGTTACAAGAAAGACAATAAATGCCAGAGAAAACCAACAGAGGAAGTCAAATAAGGCAAAGCCGAAGGTGCTTCAGTTTAATTATAAAGTCCAAGGAAGCCTGCGCTTTGGAGTGGTACGGTGCGGTGAGGTCGCATTTAAACGAGACTGGACCGGAAAGCGCGTTTCCAAAGCTCGTATCTCCGGCCCGCCTTGGGATTCATAGCCAGAAATGATGGGTTTGCCACTAAAAACAGCTTTTCGCTTTCGGCAGAAAATCGACAACATCAGTAAAGGCCCGCGGAGATGGGGATGCGCAAGCATGGAAATAATAGATGACGCGGCATCCGGGCAGAAAGCACAGCCTCTTAGTCCCGACCGAGAGTCAAGATAGTTTTATCGGCAGTTATGAAATTAGCTTAGGGTCTTGATCTTCTGAAATCTTTTCTATAAAGCAATGGGCGATCTTGTAGTAGCCTCGATAGTTATCCCGACTCTAGCGAGTCCTCGACATGAGGCTAGATAGCAGGAAAAAATTGCTCGACCTCGGGTTCGTTTTCGCGGTGAATAGAGAATACGAATCCGGGTGAATCCATACTTATAGTAGAATGACATGGGTCCAGTTGACTTAAGGTCTTATGGTGACGATAGCAGTAAGTTTACAAAACTCCTTCGTCCAAATTTGATATCTGAATACGGATACGTGTAATGGGCGGCCCGATCTACATTGAATACGTGTATTTCGCCGGCCCGTGCCGAATACGTGGATTATGGCACATAATGCTAGATCCCAGCCGAGCTAGGCTTACGGAACTAGGAGCTTAGACGATGCCGCACCCACTTATTTACCGATAAATCCGAATGACATAGTGACAACGTCATTCTCCTTACTGATGATCAATCTACTATGAGGCGTGGGAGGTATCATAAATCCCAGTTCCATCTGCCTTCTATTCCATAAAACCATTTCACATAACCTACCTAGCCTCTGCCCTGAGTTGCCGATCTCTTAGCGGATTTGGAGATGACTGCTCACGGCAGTCTTTCGCTGCCGTGCCTGCGTGTCTGCCTAGGTGATAAGTTCTATGGTGAATTATTCTTTTCCTTAGCATTATTTACATAATTCTTTTATTTTCACGCAAAATGCCGACCTCATTGCTTTTAGAATGCTGTTGTGAATTTCTGACATGCAGTGGTTTTTCAGGTATCCCTGGAGATGGGCTCAGGACGTCGTGATTGTAGCAGCGACATAGCGAGCCCGCAGGATGACCCTGTCAAAAATGACTCTCTCATTAGAATCCTTCCCCTTGAATTGAATGAGACCCCCGCCAAATAATGTCATGATCTCTTGACTGACTTTTAGGGCTTGCCCGTCCATATAGCCAACCCTGACTGTCGTAGACGCAGTTGTAGCCCCTCTGAGATGTATTGATATCGAATCGCTCGGGTGCCATACTACAGAGCTGGTCGAATGCAAATTTTCTCATGAGACATCCAAAAAGCGTGGAGCCCAAGACACAAGGTCCAGTATCCTGTGCAGCGGGCACTTCTGTGGATATCGCTCATGTCCGAGCCACGTTTGAGAGGCCACATCGGCGGATTGGTTGCATTCGAGTCCTCCCAGCACTAATGTCTGGATTCAGTCAACTTGATATTCTTGACGAGTCTTTGTCTTGGTTAATAAACCCGATATCTTAGTTGCGCTCTATAGTGGACCGTTGAAAAGGATTGTTAGGCGGTGCCAAAGTTTGGCTTCTGGCTGTTTTGCCCCTACGGATTTGAAAAGATTAATAGGTTCTGAACGACATACTCGAGCCTTATCAACAGTCTAGTTTTTTAAAATCTAAGGGTCACCAGTTCCACCTAGTCACCAAAGTGATATCCTGCTAGAAAGGCACTGGTCGAAAAGTCCTTGACTGCCGCCTCAATCTTGGCTATAACTTCTAAAACATGCTTTCCGAAAGTCGGGAAGACCAAGGTACATAGTGCAGAATTTCATTTTCGGCACGTGGTCAACACATGCGCGGTGTTCATATGTGAGTGTTGGTGTGCGAAAGGACTGTTCGGGTTGAAATGATGCCTACAAGATGAGATTAATCGTTAGTTACGATACAGATTTTATTGCTTGCCTTTTGGATTCCGCAACTCATGACCCTGGAAGAGTATACGAACACAACAATTCTTTTTGGAAATGTAAATACAGCCCTAAAATGGTCTGGCGCGCTGCGCCAAGGTGCGTGCTTGGAGATGTCACTAGCGCTCAATACATATAATGCTACTTAAGTCGACCCACCCCCTTTTAGCCACCCTATTAAATATAGTATTAAAACATTACCACTAATTATACTTAATTAATTAACTATTTTCTATTACTATAATAATATAATTATTATTCTTTTTAAATAATTCGACCCCTATA